CCTGTGCCTCCGGATGGGCTCAGGGTGCCAACCTGTAAGAAGCCAACGTGGAAATTCACACTGCCTAGAGAAGGCACAAGCAGCCAGTGCTCCTGCACAAAGCAGGCAGCAGAGAAGCACCTGGCAGCTCTTGCACGCTGATTTTCAGTCTTGACAGCAAAGCTGTAACAACCACCAGTGGCTGATGTACAGAAGGGTTTGTATCTCGCTGCTGACCTCCATCTCCTACATCAAAACAAGCACAACAAAACAACCCTTTAACAAAACAGCCATTTGTAAGCATCTGGTGCCAAGCATTAACCACTATACTACCAAGATTTTTCAGTGATTCTGAGTGACTCTAAGTTCAAAGGGTTGGTAACACATCCCTGGCACTCATGTCTCATTCTGCAGGAAGCTCACCTGGCAGAGGCTTCTCACCACGACTGCTCCTTCCTGCCATCTACAAAGTGGCTCACAGACAGCTTACAAAAGAACTATGGAGTTCTTGGAAATTTCTTTCAGTACAAGCTTAAAGGGATCTCAAACAGATTTTAAACCTGTCCAACTTGGCTGAAGTTCAAGGATTTTAAAATCTGTATCCGGGGATCCAGTGACTCCCTCTACATTCACACATGGGCTAAGTAGAATCTCTGCAAGCAAGCAGTGCAGCAGAAGTTACCTCCGTATCTTCAGTCAAGGACAGTCCTAATGAAGCATTCTTATTTTTAATACAATATGTGGTATTTTACTTAATAGGTGCCTGCAAACTATTAGCTACAAAAGCATATATATTATAAAAAAATCACCAACAAAACTCTTACCAAGTCTGCTCCTCCCCGCATACTGACAAATCTGTATACAAGTCCTACTTCAATTTTAAGAGGTGTTGCTGCATGACAGACAGCAGTAGAGGCGATGCATCCTCAACAGCCTGAACTTAAACTGGAGAACATGGTCTGGAACTGGAGAACTGGTCTGGTATTAAATGTGGAGGTCGGTGGCCATGCCTGCAGCACAGGGGCTGGAGTTTCATGGTCCTTGAGGTCCCTTCCAACCCAGACCATTCTGTGATTCTGTGAACATGCTGAGATGAGGACAAGTACCTGGAGAATGCAACTGGACTAATATGTAAGAGATCAGTAACTTGACAGAATAATTGCCAAAAAGCAAAGGAAAGGCAGGGCAAAAGTTGCATGAGAAAGTCATGAGACCCAAGACAACGAATAGGATGGTCACCCAGAAGTCTGTAGTTTAAACAGACTTACCCAGGGCTTTGAAAACCAGACTAAGTCAATCTACAGAAAAACAGTTGCAAAGCAGCCCTCTTTGAGTAGGAGGGCAGAGAGGACTGGGCACTCTAAGAGGATTCAAAGAGCAGACTTGCACATCAAATACCACTCATCACCATGTCTGCAGAAGACAAGAAGCCCAGCTCCAAGCTACTCACTTATCTGGAAGCCTCCACTAATAATTTCAGTTCTCTTGTGCTGTCTTTGCTACTTCTGCAATTCTAATTAAATAAATCCCAGAGGTCACAAGGTAAGGATAAAATTCTCAGTAATTACTCTCTTCAAACTGTAACTCAGTCTGATATTTCTGACGTTACAAAAGAATCCTGTGGCGAGCAGAAGCCAAGCCAAGCTACAATCAGCATCTTCCTGTCATTGAGATTACAAAACAGCTGAAGAACTGTCAGGGCACCCAACGTTGTTGCTGTGAGATAGCAGCCGTCCCTGAAGAGCGGTACATATGTGGACCAGAACAACAGGGAAGAACAAAGATAAAAGCTTTTGACCTTTGCTCTGAACTGAAAACATGAATCAGCAAAACCAGCAGTTCCTGTACTTTTTTAACGTGCAGCTCAGCGTATTTTATGTCAGTTGTACTCGTTGTTTTTCATGCCTGTGCAATCAGAGAGCAAGATCCTTCTCCCTTACCCACACACATCTCTAGTGTGAGATCTGGTACGCCATCAGTAGCTCCCTCCTGTACGACAAAGACCAAGGTAGCATCTACCCTTCAGATGCAGAATTGCACGCACGCCATTAGATGGGAATAACAGCCACACCAACGTCTTCAGAAGCAGGAGATGAGACAGAATCCTTGGGATCTGACCTTGCAGTCTTCTGGGGCCTGGGCGCAGCAGAGAAGCAGGCAGAGAGCACCAGGCGGCAGCGCAGCAGAGCCATGCTGGCCATCTGCCTGCAGGGGAACGCACCGCCTCACCTGGGAGGAGAGAATGGGAGAAAGGCAAGAACTCTCACATATACAGGGAAGAGGCAACGAAACGTGCGAGCAAAGGAGGCATTAGGTCAGAAGACACTGACAGATCCCTGAAACACCAGAAGTTTATCTGAGTCTTGCAAATGAGCAGACCAGATAAGAAGAAAAGACTTGAGCACTCTTTAATCAGCTTTCTGAGGACAAAAAATTATCCCCGTTTTTAGCACTGTGAGTTTATTTCTCTGTCTAGCACTGCTGCTGGTGCTAACCTCTGGAAATCTCTCCTTCCAAGCATCAGAAATTGTCTCTGCGCAGCACACGTTATTATTTGAAACATCTGCTCCTCAGGCTTAAGGAGACTGAATCAGCTTCCAAAATGGACCAGGCAAAGGGTCAAGAAATTAAACCTTTAAGCTGCTGACGAGCACAGCCTCTTGCTCCCATTACCAGAGCAATCCTGCCTCACCTGGCAGCTCTGCTCACTCTGTCGCCGCTGCCCCTATGGCACAGGCAGCAAGAGGGACAGCAGCAGTTTCCTCATCTCTTGGGTGATCTGTGACCACATGGCAGATGCAACAACCACCAGCAGTCATTGCTTCAGGGCAGTGATAGAAAAACCCCCACTGTCCAAACATGGAGCTGTGCCCAGGCTCTTCTTTAACTCAAAATGTGTGTGGACTGAGAGCTCTCCTTGCTCCTCGGACTCACTACCTGCCTTTTGGGGTGATGAGCTGAAAAACAGAGGTTTCACACACCTCAAGTGAATTGTACCACTTGCTTTGGTCTTTTATGGATCTCCCTCCTGTAAAGATGACAAGAAAGAAGAGAGGAAACAAGCAAGAGCCCTAGTTTTCAGACCTGCTCCTCTGCGACTCCCATCAGCTCCAAATCTCCCAAGTCTGTCTCAAAAATTTACAGAGACCAGAGAAAACTGCCTGCTCCTCTCCCAAGTCAATGCCAGAACAACGTCTCTTGCTTGGACAGTCTGTGTCTCACACTCCATTACAGTTCCCTTGGTCTTAAAGGAACACAGTTGGAAAGCAAGTCTTCAGGGACAAAGGGTGAGCAGCAGCGTAGACTGTCTGCTCCAGGAGAGCTGATGCTTGTCCAGCAAGACCCTGGGACACACTCCCTCCAAAGAAAGGTGCCTACTCTTTCATCTCTGTTCCTCAAGGTCCTCTCTCCACTAGCAACAGAGAAAGATGAATGCAAGAGATGGTGCCTCTTGAGGAAGGATGAGAAAAGGCGTACATCACCACATCCTTTTGAAACCGAGGTGGTAAAGCAAACACCCATCACTTGTAAGGATAAGAAGCAAGGATTGTGCATCTGAGACGCCCATTGCATCCCCTTGAAGCAGAAAACAGAAGTTCCATTTCATGCCTCTCCCAGTGGAAGGATGATTGGGCTGGGGAGATGAAGCTCCATTGCTTTCCTAGAAAAGAGGATGACAGTAGCAGAGAAGCCAGGTTTCAGCCCGCTCTTCCATTGTTCCTCACCAAAGAAAAGAGATCAGAAGCATGCACATGGCAGGGAGACAATGGACAAATAACTGCCTGGTATCCCCCTGCTCCTCCTGAAGAGCAGGTATGCATACTGAGGTGAGTAGTGACAGCAAATCTCCACTCCCACTCACCCTTCCCATCTAGGAAATGGTCAACTCTTGGAAAGGGTAGATAACAGCAGGACAAGGGGAAATGGTTTGAAGTTGAGGGAGGGCAGATTTCAGTTGGATGTCAGGGGGAAGTTGTTTGCTGTGAGAGCGGTGAGGTGCTGGAACAGCTGCCCAGAGAGGCTGTGGATGCCCCGTCCGTCCCTGGAGGTGTTCAAGGCCAGGTTGGATGGGGCCCTGGGCAGCCTGGGCTGCTGTGAGATGTGGAGGTTGGTGGCCCTGCGTGTGGTGGGGGGTTGGAGCTTCATCATCCTTGAGGTCCCTTCTAACTCGAGCCATTCTGTGTGTGATTCTGTGAAATGGGAAGCACAAGCAAGAAGGTTCTCAGCCACCTTCCTCTGTACCTATCAAGAAACAAGAGAACGCCCATTCCACCATCTCTGTATGCCAGGGAGTGCATGCCCAGATGCCCCTTTCCTTTAGATGCATAGGGAGGAAAAGAGAGGGAAAGATGCCCAGATCCCTTTTCCACCAGAAGCACGTGAAGAGATGCGCAGGGTCTCCTCTCCCCCATGTGTCTGCATGCAGCATGGGGGTACCCAGTGCCTCCTATCCCCAGGACACATTAGGGGGATTCACTGCCCACCCTTTCAAGTCTATATTGAGTGGCACCCCATTTTCCATGGGCACTGGGCACCCCCTCACACAGTATTGGCTTGAGGAGGCTGCCCGACGCCCCTGGATGCCAAAAGGGCAGAACGCCCTCCTTGTGCGTCCCTCCTTGCCCCAGTACGTGCAAGCCACGATGCCCAGTGCCCCCATCCCCTACCCCAAACGTCAGCATCAAACGGCTGCGATACGAGCGCTCAGCCCCGCACCCATCCACACCAGGGGGGCAGGAAGGGCCGCCTGCTAAACCCATTTCCCCATAGCAGCTCCCTGTGCGGGCAGGGGACGCTCAGAGTCCCTTTTTGGGGAGGGCAGGAGGCGGATGCATCCCACCGCCTGAGGCGTGCGGGTCCGGTCCTTCTGGGGGCGGAAAAGCACCCCGTCAGGTCCGTGTCCTTCGGTCCCACACAGCCCATGGGGATGCCGTGCGTGAGCCGCCCTCGCTGGCACTGCGGACACCTCCTGCCCCCCCCCCAACCCCGGGGGGCCCCGGGCCGGCAGCGGCCGCACTCACGGTTCCAGTAGACGGGGTAGCACTCGGCGTTGGCCACGTCCACCTCGTAGAGCCCGCTCCGCACGCACACCGGCTCCACCGCCGTCCGTTCGGGGCCGGGGCCGAGAGCTCGGAAGGCCAGTTCGATCCGCAGCGAGTCGTAACCGATGAAGGGCTTCCAGCTCTTCCGGTCCTCCCGGTAGAACCAGCGCACCTCCTCGGCCCCCAGCTCCCGCACCACCTCATAGCGGGGCCGCCCGCCGCCCGCCGCCGAGCGCTGCCGTTTCCTCTCGGGCAGCGCGGAGCCGCCGCCGCCGCCGCTCTCTCCGCTCGCCAGCCCCGCGCCCTCGCCGCTTTCCCCGGTGCCGGAGGAGTAGCGCAGCGAAGCGCCGGACTCGGCCGAATCGAACTCGCCGCCGCCGGTCGAGTCGCTCGGGGTGGCCGCCTCCGGTTCCCCCTCCTCGGAGGAGGAGGTGGAGAGCGCGGCGCGGAGCGGCGGCACGGAGCGCTGCCGGGGGCGGCGGGGCGGGCGGGCCAGGGGACGCTCCGCCGCTTCCTCCTCCTCCTCCTCCTCGCCGCCGGTCGCCCGTTCGTAGCGGCCGCCGTAACCGCCGCCGCCGCCTTCCCCGGGCAGCTCCCAGGCGCCCTGCGGCGAGCCGGGCTCGGGGTAATCCATGCCGCGGCGGCGCAGCCTCACCTCGGCCGCCCTCGCACCGCCCCGCTCACGCCCGGCTCGCGGCTGCCGCAGCCGCCGGCTCCTCCGTCCGGCCGGGGGCGGCGCCGCATCGTCACGTGCACCGCGACGCGGCCGGGGGCGGTGCGGGGCGGGGGGAAGGGAGGCCTGGGCTCAGGGCTGCGTGGGAGCGGCTGGCTGCGCTTGGACTGCCTTACGGGAACTGCCGGGCTTTATCCCCGTCAGCACCCAGTGCGTCCCGGGGTTATGTGGCACCCACAGGTGTATCGCTGAATCGCAGAATATCTCGGGTCGGAAGGAACCCGCAGGGATCGCCGTGCTCCTGGCTCCACGCTACTCCCCGAGCCCTGTGGCTCAATGGAACGGGTTGCACAAGGAGGCTGTGGATGCCCCATCCCTGCAGGCATCCAAGGCCAGGCTGGATGTGGCTCTGGGCAGCCTGGGCTGCTGGTTGGCGACCTGCACACAGCAGGGGGTTGAAATGGATGAGCACTGTGGGCCTTTGCAACCCAGGCCATTCTAGGATTCTATGGCTCAGAGCCATGTCCCAGTGCTCCCTGAGCTCTGGCAGCTCGGGGCCATACCCACCGCCACCTGGGGCAGAGCCTTGCCCTGACCCTACTTTATTCTCCCCAACACAGCTCCATGCTGTTCCCCATAGAGCTCAGCACTGCCCTCGTCTCCCTGTGAGGAGCTGCAGCAGCTGCAAGGCCTCCCCTCAGCCTGCCCTGCTCTGGGCCCAACAAACCACGGGTCCCCAGGCATTTCTCACACACCTTGCCTTCCAGACCCTTCCCCATCGCCATAGCCCTCCTTTGGCAGCCCTCTGGTGGCTTCACATCCTTCTGATATTCTGGAGCCCAACCTGCACCCGGTGCTCAAGTTGAGGCCACACTGCTGCATCCTCTGAATGCTTGCTATGAGTACCAAAAAGGGAGGTGTTGGGCCCCAGAATGGGAGGTGCTGGGGCTCACTTGTGCTTGTTGGTGTGTGTGAGCCACAACCAGCCACCTCCCTGCCCTGTGCACACCTGGCACTTGGCAGGAGGGGGTGCTGAGATGCGTATCGGTGCCGGGTGATAAAACACATTGTTATGTCAGGAGCGAGGATGAGGGATGGTTCCCAGTCCCCAGCACACACCCAGAGATGGATCACTGCTGTGTGTATGTCCCCCTTGTCTTATCTCGTGGCTGTTGTGGGGGTGGCAGAGGTAGAGCTTCCCAGAAACACACCCTGAAATACTGGGGTGGGGTCACCTGTTTGTACAAAACCCCCCGTTTTGCAACACACCCAGGAACAAGGAGGTGGGGTGAGGGTTTGTGAGTGATACTCCTCTCCTACCTGCACATCAGCTGTGGAAGAAAACAGGATGCAGTACACGTGTTCCCCAATTCCCACATCCCCCTCCTGGAACTGGGATTCCACATGCTTAATGCACCATTCCCTTCTGCTTGGCTCTGTCCTGCGAGGGAACTTCTGTGTATTGCATGGCATTGTATCTCCCAAAATAGGTTTGTGACCTACCTCCTATATCCACTTTCAGCAGGGGAATCCTGTTAATGGACTGCATTAAAACAGAAAGAGGCCAGATTAAGTTCAGGTTGGAAGGATGGGCGAAGCTTTTAAAAAATGTTCGCTGTGGATGAGTGCATCTTGAATGCCTGGCAACACTTTTTGATCCAAAAAACTCCACAAACTTTGTTAGCATTCACACGCTTTCACCACAGGAGCTTTGCGAGTGCTTGTTCTGCATTCTCAGGTGGGGAAAAAGGAAAAAGAGAGGAGATAAAATACAGACAGCCATCAGAGGAAGCTGCGCTTGACTTCATATCCAGATCAGTCTAGCAACAGGGACACAAGCTATTTGTTTAATTTTGCATTTCTAAATGAACTCGGCAAGGTATGCTTTCCATGAAATCTGCCCCAGATTTTCCTCAACAGTGGGGAAGAAGAGGAGAATGCCACGGAGTCATAGAGCCTTGAAGGTTGGAAAAGATGATTAAGATCACCTCGTCCAACTGCCAGCCCACCCCACCATGCCTACTGACCAGGCATCCCTCAGTGCCACATCTCCACAGGTCTTGAGAACCTCCGGGGATGGAGGCTGTCGATTGCTTTGATGAATTGTGAGATTCTCATTTCCATCCTCATTTCTGTCAAAGCCAGTGGGGTTTTCACCATCTTTTGGCATTCAGCGTTTCACCCTTCTTCATTCATGTCATCCTACTCAGATGCTTCCTCCTTTTCTCCTTGCTTGAGAGAACAAGATTGCCCAAATGACCAAGGGACACATCACATGTTCTTTATCTCATGTATATATTATTTCAGATAATTTGATCTATGATTCTGTGATTTATTTCTTCCTGTGCATTTCTGGGAGTGTGTGTCTGCTGTCCATTTGCAGACGCTACTTTCTTTTTCACAATGTCCCTGTAGACAGTAGGCAAAAAGAGACTGTTCATCATCATCAGGCTGAACCACAGCATCAACAGCTGCAATTTGACTTTTCTTTTTTAGAGCCATTTTGGAGACCTACAAAGGCACGTGGCAGAAAACTGGTTTATTGAATGTGAAGTGAAGGGACCTGCAGAGCTTGAAGTTCCCTCCCAGAAATGTCCAATTTCTGTTCACTTTGAATTTCTGGGGGAAAGCTTTGCTGGGGTAGACTGGTATGAATGGAAGTTGGGAGCCCAGACCTCTCTCTCTAGAGCTCAGAAGAGGAATATTTTCCTCTTTGTGTGGTTGGGAACACACAGTCCATGAGTGTGGAGTAGCACAGAAGTTCTGGCATGACTCAGGACTCTATTCCCATTGCTGCTGATTTACATCAAGTAAGAAGTAAGAGTAAATGTGCAAACTTCACTTGCAATCAGAGGGCAGAAGTTCCCTTACAGAGAAAAAATGTAGAAAAATGTGAGTGTCTACATGGAAGGTTTAAAACCAAATTGCATTAATTTTGAAGTGTTGTTTGTATAGCTCTGTGAATTTCTATGCAGGCTAAGATCAGTTCTGCACGTCATGAGACCCTCACAGAAGACTTCCACGACCATAGATCTGTATACCCAAACATGCTGGCAATTTCCAGGAAAGGGGATGACGGTTCCCCATGAATCTGGGGAGCATAGGTAATATTGAAAGTGTTTCAGGGCTTCCTTTAACTAAGCTTATTTTACCAAGTCGCTTGGATTCCTTTTGTGGCTGCTATTCTAATTATCCGCATCCCAACTGTTTTGTTCTCCAGAGAAACTACTCCTGTTGGTGCATCTTTATACAGTGCAGTCAGTTTTGAAATTATCACAGTGCACAACTGATGCAATCATCTTGTGATTTCTTCCAGATCCTAAATAAAACACAGTGAACAGCACAAGGCCAAGCGCCTTCAGGAGTCCATTAGTAACAGTCTTCACTCATTGATGAATCCTTTCTAACAAAGCCATTTTAAGATCTTTCCATTAGCTATTTTTAAACCATTTATTATGCACTCGTATCGATTTTGTATAAAACTTTTTCTTCAGATCTGAATGCTGTGCAGCTCTGAGTCAACACAGTTACTGCTGTCAAGTGTACCTGTGATTTTATCAAGGAACAGAATGAAATTGGTTCTTTGGCAGGAACGTTTACATTTCCCACGAAAACTGCTGATTGCCATCTCATTACATCCCCACTCTCTGTCTCCTTATTAATTGGTCCATACCACTTCATTATAGGTAGGTCAGGAGAAGTGTCAGATGAACCAACGTGAAACGACACGAGCTTACCTCAGTCACACACTTCAAATATTGACACAGCACTGAGTTTCACCTTAGAAATGGTCTTCTGGCCCAATTCTAGGCTCTCACGTTCCCACCTTGTGTGAGAACAGTCATCTGAACAGCGAGCTCTTAAAACCCAGCTGTGCAAGTCCTCTAGACCTGCTGCTTTTAAAATGTCAGTTGTGCTGTTCAATCTTCTTCTTTTTTTTAAGTTGCTTGCATGGGAAGCATTTCATCATCATTATATAATGTGGAAACAACATTCAACTTTGTCCCAAATACAGGCAGGAAATATTTATCAAAGACTTCTGCTTTTTTCAGTTTCACAGCTATCCAAATATATTTGGGTTCACTGAGAGTGTTAGGAATTGGACTCTGCTAAAACACTGTTCATCAAATTAAGCAGGCTTCCAAAAATCTTTGCTCACAACGTGATATTTTCAGCTCAGAAGACACTCACTCTCGGGCTGTTTTAGAAAGGATGTTGGTTAGCTGGATTAACCCCCCCTCCCAGAGAGACCTCTGTTCTGCTTTCAGCCATGGAAGGCTTGTCTGCTTGTTTTTCTTTTACTTGAACACCAGCAGTTTTGGTACATCTGTGCCAAGGTCAAATGTGCCTTTCTCTAGAACTGAGATGTTCTTCCAAAGCTATGGCTTCATGTCCCTTTTCTCCTGCTGCCAGCAGGCACAGAATATCCTGCTAGCTGTAAAAGACAAGAACTGGGGGCAAGGAGGGGTCATTTCTTAGATATCACACACTGTCCCTCTCAAGGCAGCATTGTTCAATCGTACAATTTTTCTCCCCCTCCTTTTCTTTTGCTATTGTTCCAGGGCAAACAAAAGGAAGAAAGCAAAGTAATGACCCCTGACAGAAGTGTTTACCCTTTCAGATTTTGCTCTGGTGAAGCCTGCATGTACTGAAGATTAAGTGCTTGCCTGTGCATTGATGAGACCCACAGAAAGCCATGCACAGGCAGACTGCTGGCAAAGAAAAGGCTGAACTAGAGCCATGCTTGGGCTCAGCTGCCCCATCTCCTCCCGTTCTCTTCTTCTGGGGGTACTATTTTGCCCTTTGTGCAGGAGTGAATCAGAGCAGGATGACTGCCCCATCGCTGCAGATCCCAAGGCCAGGCTGGATGGCCCCTGATCAGGTGGGAGGTGTGGCAGGGGTTGCAGTCAGATGGGCTTTGAGGTCCCTTCCAACCTAAATCAACCACATCATTCTTCTTGATGGCACTGAAGAAAGAATTTCTGATGGTGAGTCCGTCTGCTATCACACAAACTAACACTGTAATGGATACGTTGCTCT